TTTCAACTCTCTGTGCTATCTGCACAAGTCCACGATTTACCAAGTCAAGTTTACCAAGTTTAGATCGTTTTTAGTGTACAATGAAAACAGTTTCGTACATTTGACATTGAAGAACTAAAGATCCACATCCGCCATCAGAAATAAACGAAGGTGCTTGACAAGAAGAACCAAATGTCAAGAAACCCTAAACAAGATGCACGAAATGTTAATTGAAAAATATACACCACTTCGACCTACTAGAAATTATGGGTGATATCAAAATGTCAAAGAATGCGATAGCCATAATGTCTCCTCCGCCTATCTCTTCAGCGTTCTCAAAAAAACCACGTTGAATTGAAAGAAGTATTTGGACGACTAATCAAATCTCACACAGCTTTAGTAGAATGTAGCCATGTAACTGACAAAAGCAGAATGACATCGATATGTACCAATTAAAGTAGTTAATAAATTATATCAGTGATGACCAAGTGTCCCGGTTTGTTGTCTTAAATTAAAGAATAGATATTGAAGGAGCGAAGCTATGTACATTAGCGTGTTACAGCATAAAGAGAGTAGAGAAGAAAAGTGGAGGTCCTAAGTAAAGTGATTATATAGAAAAGTGACTTGATTGAGAATCAAGTAGTCAACATTTGGTCAACGCTGAATTGAAAGTCGAAACAGGACCCCCACATGAGAGAAATGATATAATACGGTGCAAAAAATATGGTCATACACAGCGGTATTGTAACCATAATTTAAAGGGTGATCACACTGCGAATTACGGAGACTGCAACGAAAGTTCCCAAAGCCAAGAACGAAAATAACACCTAATCAACCAATAATATACTCACCTAACTCGGCAGAAATCAGCGAAGCGTACCCAAACTCTTCTACTACCTATGCAAACGTAGTCAAATGATACATCAAAGAGGGCACAACCAACGAAGACAATACCATGGGATTAAACCTCAACAGTTTCGTACAGACAATCGAAAAGTCATTCATTAAACCGAAGCAAATATTCGTAAAACAAAACGAAGCAGTTAGCTATATGCTCACCTTTCGACAGCGATAGTGAAAAGTGTTTACAATAATAAGTGAACATGAATATAAATCGCTATTATAAGTCATTAACAAACCTGTGCTTATCTGAAATGTGAGACGAGCCTCAATTGTTCTTTACCAGCCAAGGTATTAATATAATATTGATTTCTAAGCCCCGATATACCCAGAAAATGTATACAATATAACCAGTGGTAAAGTGCGTGTTGAAATCGACTCTCGTTATATTGCCTCTTTACGCGGACTTCAAGTGGCGCCCCCACGATATAGGAAACAATAAAGAAATTTCAAGAAAAAAAATTGCGATACTATAACTTTTTGTTGCTATATTTTGTCCCAGGACAATATAACAAAAGTCTGTAATAAAATGCAGTATAAAACGTTACATACCTCCATAACTACCTCAAATCAACCGAAATAGTCCAAGACAGCCCTACTACTCTATCAGCAATATACTGCCCCCCTAATATTTCATATGATTTGAAAATGTCTACTATAAAATAAAACATTAAAAATAGTAAACGACATACAGTTAATATCTGATAAAAGTACAGTGGTTTCAAAAGTAACTCACAGGAACAATGCAGTTGGGCATACTTCTAAAATCTGGTAAAGAGAAATATAAAGATTTGTATTAAATAAATATCCCCTTTTTTCATATCCTTTTTTAACGTAATTAATACGTTCAATTATGAGTAATAATTCATAGAAGCTTATTGTAAATACAAATCAAGAAAAAGATCGCATCGTGACCGCAGAAGGTATAATCATCACAGAAAGATAGCATGATGTGACTACATTCATTCATCGAAGTAATTCTATCTTAAATTACAATTACCTTTAATATTAATAATATTGAAAATTTATGGTTTACTGCAGAAAAATTAATTCTTTCTATTTCTGAAAAATTAGTTCTTTTCACTGCTGAAATATTACTTCCTCAAGTATTAAATAAAATTGATAATTATTCCAGTATTAAACAAACTATAATTAGTCCACTCTTTTTGTTTTATTGTTTGAAAGTTTATAGTTACCAACAACTTATATATGGTTCTATGTGCTGCATCAATCGATATCGCCATTCTTTCAGCGCTGGAAAACCCATGCATATAAAACAGATCGTTGACATTTACGACCATGCTATATTTCTGCGATGACTATAATAACCGCAACGCGTAGTATTTTCATAATGCCAGCATGCGTTGTCGTCATTTCCTTCAACAGCCACAACATGGATTTCGCGTCATAGTATTCTTTTACTGTCCCACGCGGCGACTATTCAAATTTAAGGTTGCAAAGTTTCGTGCTATTTCCATAAAACCAAACCGCGTTATTAGTATCCGCACTTTAAGCTTAACATATACATTTCCGCTCAAAAGCAACAGTCAGCTGTTTAAGACTTCTTCATAATTCAGATAAATGTGACATTTCATAAATCAAAATTTGTACGTTTCGTATATGGTAGACGTTGCAGGATATATCTACTGACACAACTTCATTCTGAATTAATAATTTAGAAGTATTTAAAAATTTTCTGTACGGAATAATGGATACTTCAATGGTGTCATTGAAATAATGGATAGACCCACATGAAGATTAATAATATAAATTAAATTAAGCAGTAGAAATATAATATAAACAGAAACAAAGATAGACATCATTTCCATTTTGAATACTTTTCTTCACCATGGCGTGCAATTAGATTAATTAAACCTCGACACTGATATTTACAATATTTATTGTCCTCTCTATAGTTGCTTTCAATTCGTTATTTGAGCAACGTTAGACAACAGATTTCACTACATTTGAAAATGATTCCATATAAGATTAATTAAAAAATAATTTTTGCAAACGTCCATCATGTCCAAATTATGAAGCCGTCTTAAACTGGCAGACCTTAATTATTCAAATGTTCAATGTTATTCAAATTAAAGATACAAACTGCGGCCAAACGTAGTTTAAACCTGTCTCAGTCAACCTTGACGTTGATATATGTTAACAACCTGTTTGTTAAAATGTTATTGAAAAAATATAGAATACCACGGTGAATTTCATTAGAAGCCGAGACAATATTTTTACGTAAATTACTACTGCTACGACAGGTAATTACGGCAATTACTCCGGTAATTGTCCGATTAAATCAGTCATTCTTTATCTTTTTAATTATCTCATATTTCATATCTACAACGTTATATTGTTGCGTAAACAGACACGTTATTAAATTTACATAAGAGTGAGCAGGTGAAATAATGTAATAATTCAAAGCATGACATGTGTGAATAATAAAATACACTGCAGTCGAATGACTTCAATTACTCGGAATTTTTATTGATTATTAGAAAACAAAATTCAATTTTTGTACGTTAAAAATTTTATTTGTCTTCTTTTGAAGTCCTTTGCCCAATGAAATCATAGTCTGATAAAATATATTAATTGCTACTTAGAAAAAGTATATGCCTTTGTAAAATTAAAAGATTATTAAAAATCACACGGTTACAAACCGAATCCGTATACTATTCAAAAATTTGTATAAGCGCTTTATTTTACTATGCGAGTACTATAGTACGAATTTTCCCTACGGTAATTGGAAATAAATCATACGATCATACTCATATGACTAAAAAATCATACTCATATGATTTTTTATAAATTAAAAAATATTTTGTAACAAGATACTTGTAGTGTAATAAAATCATGTGATGAACACGTTGTAAAAAAATTTAATTAAAATCTTATAAAGTAATCCAATAAAAACGGCTTGATCAAATAATACAATAAATCGTTTGCGTGTTTATCAATTTTCTGCTCAGAATTAACGAATCCAATGTAACATACTTACTTAACTATCAGATTTATTATCTACACGATAGATTATGAACACCTTATTAATTAAAACAACGCATTACAGTTACGAGTCCAAGGAAACAAAATGAAAAAAAAAATAAAAATGAAATGAAACTTTAAATTATTTACTACTCAATATTTAGTTAATGGAATTACATTTTTATAAGGTTAAATGTTAATACGTAAAAATTGCAGTGTTATTTATGTTTTTTATTAGGCCATGAATTAATTTGATTTCGTTAAATGTTTAATGTTAGTTGTCACATTTATTCGTGACTTTATGTTTATTATTTCTGTCTTGTACGTGTAAGTAAATAATGCGTAAACGAAGGTAATTACTTTTATTATATAATACGTTAGGATATCTGAAAAGTCAATTTATGGTAATAGGTAAGGTCTTTATTTATACGCAATCCTAAAGAAAATGAAACAACGTTATTCGAACACTGGTGACGAGACTATTATTACACGGACGAGGAATGATGAAACACCTATTCTTTAAACTCCCATAAAAGCTGGAGTGTCACAGTGAGATTATTGAGAATTGGAATTTTCAGTATTTACAAAAGGAACAGAAAATTCATAGTTATAAATTAGTCATTCAAATTATGTAATCTTTTTTACAAACATGCAAGAATGAAAACCATTAATTTCAGTGTATAAAAAAAGCGAAATGCATAAACACTGGCTGTCTCAAAAAAAGAATGTACACTATAAACACTGGTGAAATCATTCGTGCCAACAGAAATCGAAAAGTTTTTACTATTTTATAATCGTGACCTTGTTTTCAAGATGTAATTTAAAATTTATGGTTCTACTCTAGGCTGACTACATTTACAGAACTTAACACAGTGTGAATGTGAGGTTCTATGATACAAAATGTAAAAAGATCTTCAACTACTAATAACTCCATCGCTGGTACTACAGAAACGAAGACATAGATTACAAAACAGTACATTTCAGTTTCTTTTGCAGTTTCCATAGTGTACACTTCTTTTGAGTCATCCTGTACAAAACTGTTAAGATATCTGTTCGGGCCAGGGTTAGAAGGGAACAAGAAGGATAACAATTTGAGTATTGCAAACGATTCTGACTGAAAAAGAAATACATTTTACCTGGTCTGTACTAGGACTCCTCGCTTTATCCTCGTATTCTCGTTTTAATTCATCCTGTCGTTTAGGACTGCGTAGTACGCGTTGGCACGGGTCCATATTGCCGCCGATGTCTGCAGTGTTCAACACCATCAAAGAAATCTTCTGCACGATATCTACTATAACTAGACCGGACTCGTTCCCGTAAGCCATTCTGAAATCATACAATTTAACGATTATCAGCTGTTTTTTGGTATCATTATAATTAACTTAAACAGCCATTGATGATTATGACAAATTAACTAATTTGTTAGTCAAACCTTTTGACTGTAAAATGCATACTTTCTAATGTAATTCCGATGCAAAGTAAATAAGCTTCTACAATATAAAATATTTTCCCTGTAATTATATGATTTTTTGGATAACCTGATACATTTGTTTTTAATAAATTTGTATAGTGTTTCAAAATATGGAATCATAATAAAAAATTCTTAAAATTGTATACAATGTATTTCCACTAGAATATTTATATATAAGAAAATATATTACTTATTTACTTTAAATTACTTTTACTTTAGATTTTACATGTAAATAATCTAGTCGCTTAAGGACCTAAACAATTTTCACGCAAGTTGCATTTTTAAATACTATCTGATAAACGCATTAAACTATGTCTGTAAGAAAAAAAAATTGATTTTGTATAATAGTTGCATGTAAACATTTTGCTTTTAAGATCAAATAAAACTTTATCAAGGTAATATGATCCCTTAAGATGCTTGAAAATAAAAGTACATAGTGATCATGTATTGATCTAGGATTTTTTACATAAAAAATAGTGAACTTTGATACAATTCTTTCGTAGAGGAATGTTATACGTCAAAATAGAATTTAGATACTCACAAACCATAGGAAGAATTCAAACTCAAAGCTGTTATGTTCTCAGGTTGTTCTCCGGCACCACCCGTCGTTAAGCAAATCAACGTTGCTTGGAAACCTGCAGCCCTCTTCTGTAAACCAGTCTTAACTTTAAGCGATTGGCTCGACTCGTTATTTTTTGGCTCGTTATTTCCAACCGTATTGCCAGCTGGTGAATCATGATCTGAGGAACTTTCCACTTCTTTTGCTGGATCTGCCGTTAGTGACACCTCCAAAGTCTATGGAAACAATAAATCAATTGTTATTTAAGTTCTATAATGGCATTCTCGAAATTCAAAATCATTACTTTAAAATTATGTTAATATTGGAAGTTACCTTTAATGAATTTATTAGAGAATATTATTAAAATGTTTAAAGCTTTTGAAAGTAAAGAGGAATATTTTCTATATTTTGTCAACATTGAAAAAACGCACTGATACTGATATTTTTTGATAATTATAAATTGATGGTAATTATTTAAATAATAGATGGTTACTTACCACTACTTCGGACATACTTTCAACTTTTTTGAACTTAAATAGAACGACGTGTCTTCCACTTCCCGCGATTGCCAACTTCCGACTTTCGGGGCACAGGAAGATGAGTTGTATCGCCAAAGGGTCTTCTTCCGAATCTATACTACGTGTTTTACCTTTTTCGAAAAGCTTCGCCGTTTTTAATTTATAGAGGACTTGCAAGGTCCCTGCTGATGCGTCCCAAAATTTTATACTGCCATCAGCGTGTCTGCAATCAAATTATAACATGTGTTACATTCACATCTTGAACATTGAATATCAGTAAGTTTACAGCTATTTAATATGAGTTTATATATGCATGTATATAAACTATGTATGTCAAACATTATTATTAAATATAGGAATACATTTATTTTATATAAAACTGAGTATAATACAAAAGTACTGAAATACGCTTTAACATTTTATTGAAATAATACAAAATGATTTAATTAAATTATTAATTTAGCAACTTATGAAAGATTAAGTGGAGCAGATAACTCGTTCCTTTTTAATATAAATCTTTGTTATGTAGAGGATTCATAAAATATTTGATCATATACATTACAAAATAGGTAGAATTTAAGGTAGAAATCTAAGTATTAAATTATTTTAATACAACAATTTTAAGATGTAAATAATGTACATCAATTTGGAAATTTATTAGAAAATAAAAAAAATCCGTTGCAAATATTTTATTCGTTGAAATATAGTATATTATAGATATAGATCATGATTTTACTAAATGAAGTAAATACAGGGCGTTTCATATAAAACCCACTTTAAACATGCACAGAGGATACAAAAGAAACGAACAAAATTTACACGAACATATGGTTTGATCTTGTTTTAGAGTAGATTAATATTGTTTCAAAGTAAACTGATCTCGTTTCAGAGCAAATAGATTAATTCAATTTATTCAATAGCAATTACCTACCCGGTCAAAATAATTTCATTGTAACTACTGGAGTTCGAACTCCATTCTCCGCCGGATATTGGCCAATCCCTTTCACTAAATCCAGTCTTCTTCTGAGACTTGGAACCAACTGAATAAAAGGCAGGTACTAAATCCGAAGGACAATCAGCGAAATATGCACAGCACGTCACAGGTGACTCGTGTATGTCCATTGGATATGGATTTTCGAAGCATGGAAAGCCGGGGGTTAATAAATCTATCACAACCAAATCGTTTTGTACGAGGACCACGACAGCGTACGGATCCTGATAATCTGTCAAACAGAAAGATACAACGTGATTAGTCAGCATTGTTGATTAATTAGTACGATTTAAATGAGTAGAATTTAAATTACATCCATATTTTCTTAATGCAAATGAATAAATGAAAAAATGAAAACAAAATGAAGAAATGAAAATAAAAATTATGGATACTTTTTTATTAAATATGAATAAGATGTTAATAAATTAACTGTAATATTCTTGGTATAAATGGTCATAATAATGTTAATAAAACTACTAGGTTAAAGAGTAAATAATAATTTTAATTACCACTTGACCAGGGACTTTCACACAGTGTTATGAAGTCTATCACATTATGCTCCATTTCTAATACAGTGGTGGTTTTTCCGTGTATCACTGTTATGCTTGGAGTTCGACCAGTTGTGTCATATGCTAAACCACCAGAAAATATTACGTACGCTTCCCTGGATTGACAAAAAATAACATTTAATTAATAAAGATTCGCTTCATCTTATACAAATGTTGCAATAAGATATACATTTTTTTAATGCAAAATAAGTACTAACTATTAAAGACTATTATCGAACATATTAGGATTAAGTTTGGAAAATAGACCACCGTGGTGTGAGTGAACGGAAAATACTTTTAATATATATTCGGCTGTACAAAGGTTTCGCGGTGTGTCTCGGGCGAACGCTTTATCGTGACTGTTATACGCGACGATAGCACAACAAAGGATCGGAGGTGATCGTGCTCGGACACGCTAACAGAACAAATATGCTATATAATATTAAAAATTGACTACTTTTGTTATTATAATTGTAAAGATAGATATAATCTTTCATTGTTATAATTATAAACACAGACATGATTATTCATTATTATAATTATAAGCAAAGTTATAATTGTTTATTATTGTATTCATAAGCAAAGACATGATTATTCACTATTATAATTAAAAGCAAAGTTATAATTGTTTACTATTGTATTTATAAGCAAAGACAAAATTATTCATTATTATAATTATAAGCAAAGTTATAATTGCTTATTATTCTATTCATAATCAAAGCCAAAATTATTCATTATTATAATTATAAACAAAGTTTAGTTGTTTATTATTGTATTTATAGGCAAAGACATGATTATTCATTATTATAATTACAAACAAAGTTATAATTGTTTACTATTGTATTTATAAGCAAAGACAAAATTATTCATTATTATAATTATAAGCAAAGTTATAATTGTTTATTATTGTATTCATAATCAAAGACAAAATTATTCATTATTATAATTATAAACAAAGTTATAGTTGTTTATTATTGTATTTATAGGCAAAGACATGATTATTCATTATTATAATTACAAACAAAGTTATAATTGTTTACTATTGTATTTATAAGCAAAGACAAAATTATTCATTATTATAATTATAAGCAAAGTTATAATTGTTTATTATTATACTTATAAGCAAACACATAATTGTTTACCATTATAATTATAAATAAAAATATGATTATCTACTATAATCATTATAAGCATTATAATTGTTAACTATTTTTTCTTCTCCCGATCATAAATAACAGACTAATTCGTTCTAAACCTATTACGAATTTCCAAAGGGAAAATTTTTAGAATCAGCAAAACTGGAGATCGCTGCGAAGATTATTTAATTAATTAAGTAAAGCTGAATGTATCTCACCCCGATCTAGAAAGCTTCCATTCGACCTTCTGAATCGGTTTGCAAGGTTCTGGTTCGCCATCCTTAGTTGTTTTCGCTGTAAACAGTATACAAATACTTGAATTTTTTATTCGAATAAATAAGAGCGATACAAAATCAGGTCGGGATTTGTCCGACTGACATACATTTGTACAGGGCGGTTAAATTCATCTGGTTTAAATTACATGAAACTCAAATTTAGTAAAAAAAAATTATAGATGAGTTATGAAAAAGTAATTCACTTCTGCTGTGACTATATGCATCGGATATCATTGATTAAATTTTCGGGCAAAACTTTATATTACTTTAGTGAAAACTTTGGACGATGTCAATATTTCAACGCTCTTCAATTTGGAAATTGGAAATTTTGAAATTTGAAATTGGAGATTGGGAAAATTGAAGTTCGAGAGTTTGAAAATTTCATATTCCGAAATTTTCGAAATTTGGAGTTCGGAATATTTGGGAACTTGAAAATTAGGAATTTCAACATTTGATAACTGAAGAATTTGGGAATTTAGAAATTTGAGATATTTGAAAATCTAAAATTTTAGAAATTGAGAATTTGAAAGTTTGGAAATTTAAAAAGTAGGAATTAACTAAGAAGTAAACAGATTTCGAAATTTAAAAATCTGAGATCTTGAAATTTGACCTTTGAATCCATAAAATAATATTAATAATGCAATATCTCTAAAATGTATTATTGAAATTTTATACTTGAATTCATAAAAATAGCAAAGTTGTAATGATTTAAAAAATTGGTACACCAATGCGTCTGTCTTTAAACCATGTTCCTCATAAACACACATGTAATCTCTTTAAAATTTTATACACGCATAAAATAAACGTCCCTTTATCTCGTGAGCTAGGATTATGTCAATATCGACCGAAGTTTTGATTTTATCGTCCAAATAAGTTACAACTTTTATGAACTACGGCTTTATGGCATTTGTTTAAAAAGTTTCTTACATTATCCTAGTTTACAAGATAGCTACTTTTACATGGATTAAAACCACGCTTCGATATTTTATTTAAACGAATTCTCATACAAGTTAAAAGTATTATAAAAATAACAAATGTGATATACTCTAAAAAAGTTCTCAATAATAATAAAAAAAGTTGTCTAAAACTTTAAGTATATTATGAAACATGAGCAAAATTTCAAAACCTTCAAATAATAATTCTTGCCTAATAAATTGTCTAAAATCAACAGCAATACAGTGGAGGGCAAAAGTATTCGTACACCTGAAATATAGAAATAAAAAGAACAATATTTTCTATATTATTAATACTTTCTATATTAGTAGTAATACATACAATGATGGATAAACATTTATACTTAAATATTTTAAAAGAAAATTTAGAAAATAGTGCAGATGAATTAGAATGAATTAGATTTATGAATTAGATGAATTTTATTTTCAGCAAGACTGTGACGCGAAAAATACAGCCTATATGCATAATGCGTGAGTGGTTGTTAATACCAATACTCCCCACAGGTTAGCAACTCCTCCACAATTGCTTGACTTAAATCCTATCGAACATGTATGGGTGAAACTAGAAAAAAATGTGCGAAGACATGATATAACGTCGAAAGAACACTTGAAAGAAATATTAAAAAGAGAATGGTGTAATATAGAATCCGACTTCGTTAAAAGTTTGGTGTTGTCAATGCCCGATATATTACGTGAAGTGATTTGCCGGAAGAGTTGCATACAAAATGCCAGAGGGGTTATCATACAAAATATTAATTTATAAAATTCCTGTTAAAATAATTGTAGCAATAATTAAGTGTACGAATACTTTTGTCCCTGCGATTTCTTACGGTCTCGTGAATTTCAAGTTATTTCAAGTTATTACATGATGTTATTGCTTTCGGTTTTGGGTCATTTGTTGCTGTAAGTGTAATGTTTAATATACAGCTATATATGATTAAATATACTTAATAATATAGAAAATATTATTCTTTTTATTTCTATATTTCAAATGTACGAATACTTTTGTCCTCCACTGTATATCTTCTGATTGTAGAACTACATTTTCAATCCAAAGAATTATGTTGCCATATTTCTAGGACAGTGATGGACAGATCAAATGTCAGCCAAAAAGCTCGCGAGTATACAACACATGTAGATGATACGTGTGAGAGAGAACGCTACCGAATTCAACTTCACTACCCAACGAATACATACAGTGCCCGCAGGCTAACCATTGTTGCCCGCGAGTGAGTAAGCCATTTGCACACTTGTACCGCGGGCACAGTTGCCCATCACTGCTCTGAATTTTTCTCGAGAGTGGCATTGTTTCATGACATACGAGTATCAAGCTTAAAAACATATTTTTAAGGTAATATATAAACGAACGTAAACGCGGGGGTTGGATAGAATAACGGAAACATTTCGTATATTGTAATCCGGCTTTAAAAAGTGCCCTATTAAATTTTTCAAACGTTTGCGTCGTAAAAAAGATTTTTAAAAAAATTTGACGAAACTGGCGAAAACAAATTTTTCTTTCTATATGAATTTTAGGTATGTTGTAAGAAATGTGATTGTAATTTAAAATTTAGTAAAAATATCGAGTGATCCATTTTGGAGATAATTTTTTAATAAAATGTCAATGATAAAATAGAAGAAATTCACGGTTAATTTGGACAATTTCTTGTTAACATTTTAATGGCCGCTCACACATGTGTGTGACGATTGATGAACGTAGATGGTTGCTACAATAATTATCACATAAGCGCCAATCCACGCCAAATCAATCACTTTTAGACGTCACCATCTGCGATTTTACTCTAACCAAAATATGTTGTAATCCATGTGAAATTAGGGGGGGGGTTTAAGTCATCATTTTGCCGGTTTCGAATTTACTAAAGATTAACAAGCCTTCAAAGTTTGCAATTTTTGCCCATTTTTGCGACAATAGGCTTCACTTATGAATTGTTTTCTCAGAAACTGGCCATTAAAGTTAATATTGCACCATGTAACTCCTTAACCTATCATTTTTTCACAGGTTATTTAGGTTACTTTTTCATAGCTTACTTAGGTTACTTTTCATAGCTTGCTAATCACTGTTGTAAAATTAAAGTAAATAAAACAACTTGAAATATTAGACATGTATTAAATTTAGTGATCTTTAATTGTAGAAATTGTAGGTGATATTAAACTCAAAAGACAGTTGTAGGGCAAATACGGTTTATTTTCGTGATATTTGAACTGTGGTGTGCGTCACGAGTCAAACTCGTCAAACGTTAAGGGGTTAATGGGATATACCATTCTTTACACAATAGCGCTACTCGCAAATAACTTTATAGCTGTGCAATATACATGTGCGAAATAAAAATGGGAGCTCAAGACTGTACGCATTGAATAATCCTTGATTTGAGACTGTTAGTATTTTATTTAAAAATCAATTGCTCCAAAGTAGTTTAAAAATTAATTGCTCCAATCTCTTTTTAAAAATATAATAAGCTACGGTCTTTGCAATGTGAAACTAGTTATAGTTATTTTAGAGATATTCGCATAGAAATGATATCAAAATAATCCACAAAAATTTTCACTTATTTAAAAAAAGAATCCTCCAACTTCTCACTAAATTGTTTTCACTAAACGCTTTAAATTCTCTCACGAAACTTCTTATGTACAGAAACAATTCAAAAACAAGCTGGATGCAACTTTCTAAGCTGCTTAAATGGAGTGTATTCATTATTCCGACCTCTGTAGATTCATTCATAAAAAAGCAGAAAAGAAATAACCACTCACCGTGAGGATGCGTAACATTTGTTGGTTTTAATTGACGCACCGTCCATGTTGACAAGGAACCATCGGTGTGACTGCACATAAACTGTTTGCCTTCGTGATGCCACGATATTGATCTCAATGGTACGTCACATTGGCACCTGTAATCTGCGTTCTTCGTTTTTAAATCCCAAAACACTATCTGGCCCGATTCATATCCTATGAGCATCTGAAAACAAAATTGAAGAAAATAAGCGATAAACTGACTGAAACGACGAAACGTTCGTTTCGAAAATGGAGCTAACTCTAAGGGATATGCAATAATATACAGTAATTCCCGGTTAGTGGTCGGAGGAGACTATATTACTATCTGAAGTGGGTATTCCAAAAATTGAAAGCGATTATACACATGAGACTTGAGATACTATTTCTATTTCTTTTGAGTTTTGAAAAATCGCTTTAATTAAAAATTTTCGGACCTCGTTATCCATGGGGGGATGGGTTTCTACGATGTGGAATTAGGACAGTTACAGCTGGATAACAAAATAAATTCTATGTGAAGAAGGTGGAAACGATAACACTTACTACGCAAAATTTTAGTACTAAATCTCTTTCAAATCTTTAAAATATTTTCAAATCCTTTTTCATACGAAAACCATGGAGAACGAGGGATGAAACAATTTTACGATTGCAAAGTGAAAAGATTTTTCTTACCTCCATAGGTTAACACTTAAATTATAACAACTGGTGTTATCTAGGAATATAACACAACAAATAATCAATTTAAATTGATAAACAATATAATTTTTTAAAAAAGAAATATGACCACTAACCGGGTACTACCGTGTATATATAAAAGGTATAATATATATATTTATAATTATAACTGTTTGTAATAATATAATATTTCATAATACATTGATACAATTTATCGCATAAACAAAGAAATACAAGTTACATACACACAAGAACAAATATGAAAGAACATAGTGCATAATGGTTCGCAATAATTTTACATTATTTTAAATGTAGGAATGTGGCAGTTTCGTTGTGTGAAATTTTGGCTCGTAGCATGAACGATCAATGAAGTTTTGATTGAGCTATGGATCTTTCGAAAGTTCATGGTGCTTAAGATTCGTTATGGGAATGATTAATAAACAGATTAATGTTTGTGAATGATTTGTTGTATTTCAATTTATCGGGGTCTTTAATGAGTTACTACTTTTTACCAAATGTTACAGTATACAAAGTGTTTTGCGTGAAGCAGATCACCTGAATATATTCTCCATCTGTAATAACACCAGAACAATTTCTTAATTTAAATGCTTTCAAAAAATAAATCAGATGAAAGAAATTTTTTAACGATTTTGTTGCCAAGTTTGTTATTACAGTCTGAAATCTCGTTGAAAATAAATTCGATGTTAATTGAAAAATTTTAGAGTCCACAATCATTACGGAGTCTACAATCATTTCAGAGTAACATTGCTCGATAATTTTAGCTGTACTGTAGTACATAAAAAATGATGTATAAATATATAAAAAGAGTAAAAATGACATAGGAAACATGTAAGTTATAACAAGTATTCTTTTATTCGATTTGTCTGAAACCATTTACACTGTGTAAGAAATGTTTCTTGTATTACCACAAATAAAGACATTTAGGTGGCTTGCTTTAAGCGAAACACTCTGGACGTACACAAACGAGAATAGTAGGCTTTCCTAAGGAAAATGGCGACGTAGTGGAAAGACGTTCCATCGTTACTTGGTTTTTATTTGATATATTCTCAAATTGACAAACTCTTAAATTGGAAAATTTTTTAATTTCGAGATATGAACATTTGGAAATTTTGAGATTTAAAAGATTGGGTTTGACGATTTACAAACTTACTTTGCGTTGATTAGAATTTTTTAAGTATAGGAATTTTGATATTTGGGGATTTAGGGATTTGAGGAATTGAAGAGTTGAAGACTTGAAGATATGGGGATTTGGAGATTTGGGAATTTGAAAATTTGAGGATTTAAATATTTCAGAATTTGGGGATTTCAGGATTTGAAGATATAAGATTATAGAGATTTGGAGATTCAGAGATTAGAAATTTCGAAATTTGTAAAGATAAAAATCTGGATATTTAAAGATCTGACAATTTAGAAATTGGGAAATTTAGAAATGTGCAGATTTGGAAATTAGGAAATTTGAAAATATTGGAATTTGGGGATATAGAAATTTGAAAACACAGTAATTTAAAAATGTGGGAATTGGAAATTTGAGAAATTAAATATTAGAAAATTTGAAAATTCTATTAAGATACATGAAAATAGAAATTAAGAAATTTGATTATTCAAAAATGTGATAATTCGTAAATTTGCAAATTTATTTCTAAAAATCGAGAGCAAATAATGGAAGAATTCTCCTCTACAATTTATCCGAAGGAAGCCTACGTTGCACCGAAGTGTACGCAGAAGAAACATTTACACTTATCAATGAACAACCTAATATGGGTTAAGAATCATAAATATGTGGGTTTAATGTAATAAGATCAATTGACAACAAGAAATAGAGGGCTTTCTGTGAAACTTTTCTAGAAAGAAAAAAGAACTCTTTTATACTCCGTACAATACTTGTGAAAATAATTGGAAAAATGTAAATACAATGGGAAAGTAAGCGTTCACGCACATCTACGTACATGCTCATATAGAAGGTGTACGAAAATGAACCATAATTATTATAAATGCAATTATCATCGTGTGAGAATAAGTGAAGCTTTCACGTTGTTCCAATCTTTAAATAAAATACATGTGCATTCAGTAACAGTACTTTTAACTAATTAACTAATTAATTTCGTGTATCAGATATTGGAAATGGGATTCTAAATTGAATGAATAACCTAATTATTTCAGATTTTTCAACATACTCTAAACGTACATAATAAATTTTATATAAATACTTTCTTTCATTCTTCTTTATTTAATATTATTTATTATAAATATTACGCTAAATTTTATTTTAAAATACAATTTAATTTCTTAGCTATTATCTTCTAATAAAATATTAATATCTAATGAAACTTCGAATACGTGTCTTACCTTTAATGTTCTTAAGAAACCTGTAACCTTTAAATTTAAATTCTAGTAACATGAACATGGAAATAAAAATATAAATATGAACATACGATCATATCGTCATACTATTTTCATATTATTATCACACTATATTGTTTATGTAATAAGAAGATATGAATATGAAGATTAAAAATTTCCCCAAAGTATTTTATCTACAGGGTATTACCTGTAACACTACTCACAATTTTTCTCCCACTTGCAGCCACCTTACGAAAAAAGTTTAGTACAATATTTACAGGGTATGAAGTGCGTAATAAATATTAATAAAGCAAATTTTGAAAACAGTTTGTTCTCTTGGCAAAGTCAAGGTCACCTTGGGTTTTTTAAATAGGAACACACATTTTTTTTTATTCATAACATTAGAGGACATCGAGACGAATTCAAAACACATACTACATGATATTTTTATTAACATATTATTCAATTTATAGAAGTGGAAATATGAAGTAAAAGACCGGAATATTACGTGATGGAAGGCGGCATATATTTTGAACACGTAATTAAATAAAGTGTATTTTTCTTACATTCTAGTCGCGTGTTTACATTCAGTAATCTCCTCGGAACCAAATAATGGTTACACTACCAAAGTCAAAAGCTAAGTACTTCACATTTCCACTTCTGTAAATCGAGTAATATGTCAATAAAAATATCATGTAATATGTGTTTTGAATTCGTCTCGATGTCCTCTAATGCTATGAATAAAAAAATGTATGTTCCTATTTAAAAAACCTAAGGTGACCTTAACTTTACCAAGAGAACAAACTGTTTTCAAAATTTGCTTTACTAATATCTATTGTGCACTTCATACCCTGTAAATATTGTTCTAAACTTTTTTCCGTAAGGTGGCTACTAGTAGGATAGAAATCGTGAGTAGCGTTATAGGCAATACCCTGTATATTGTGGAATACACAATTGTTTATTTAAATTATACACACACGTATACACACACATGTCAATTTTTACTATGCAGAGATGAGAAATTACCTAGCGGAAAAAATACGAACCTGATTGATTATAAACCTTTTCAGAATTGTGATACAGAAATAATATATTTCGTTAATGGTTAAAACTATTAAATCTACTATCTATATCTGATTTGAAGATTGAGAGATTTGGGAATTTGGGGATTGAGAAATTGGAGCATAGAGAAATTTAATAATCTTCAAATTTGGAAATATAGAATATTAAACATTTAGGAATTTGGAAAGTTAGAAATTTAAAAAGTTGGACATCTAGAATCTCAGTGATTCAGAAATATAATAACTTGAGTTTCAAAAAATTCAGGAATACAATACATCAAAAATTCGGGAATTGATCAGCTCTTCGAATAATCAAGTGTGGAATTCCACACACAGCCAAATTCCATGTATGGAATTGTCCACACATTCCACACAATTCACGCGATCTTGATTTGAACCCACATGCAAATAGAGCTCCTCCGAATCAGTCGAACGTCCATTCGATTGTTTTACTTTATATTTTTTGAAATTAATTGTTCCATTATTAGAAGTAAATCTTATTGAAACTTTACTATTAACAATTTGTGCTTAAAGTTATACAGCGATGTGAAAAGGTTTTCAAAATATTTTTTATTTTACAATAAATTAATGACGTAATATTTCGGTTCATAATGCAGTTATCGTAGTATTTATAAACAATTCGATTAATCATTTGCAAGATTGCAGTTAGAACAGAACTGCGTTAGTCCCCAATATGGCGCCATTTTGAATGACAAGAAACCCTTTCCGGTGGGAATACTTCTTACTTCATTGATGAATAATTATAGTTTATCTAATATTATTCTTCAAGATTTGTAAAGCTAGATATTAGACTATAATTGATATTTACTAATCAACGTAATTATTCATAAATAAACGCATCACAAATAGAAATATGTATTTCTTTATTTATTGCACCATACGAAAGTTCCAAATAATTTTTCGCTTCTTTGATATTTTTATTATTTTTCTAGATAAAAACCAGAATATCAATCATACAACAATACCTTTAACATCAGCAATCAATCGAATTATATTTAAATAACCATTAAAAATCTCAATACTACACATTTCTTTATTTATCCAACTTCAAAGAGAAGTTCCGAATATTTTTTCACATCGTATGCAGCATTCGTAATATCATAATTGATATAATATGTAGTTCGTTTCTAAAAGCATCAAAGACGAGAGTGAAAAATACTGAATGCAAATAAAATTAAAAAATGAAATAACCTAAAATCAATTTCATAAATTAATTAAGAACTCTGTTGTTTAAAAAAAGGAAAATATTGTACTCGCTGGTTTTATTCTCATCTCTGCATAGTATATAGAATTTTGTATATTCGCAAATTTAATATACTTTATTATTCCACTTGAAACAATTTCTATTCTTCATAATATCAAAATTATCTTATATATTTTACAATGTAACAGGTTCTATATTCACAAATTTAACTTAAATCTAATTTGAAATCTGAAATTTCATTTAATCTGAAACCACGTAATAAACTATCGGTTGCTCTATTATTTATACATACCAAGCTTGGTCAACTCGATGCCCCATCCTTATAAATCAACCATAGAAAATTATTTCAATTTTCAAAATAAAAATCATATAATAATGAGAAAATGTAACAAATTTGTTTTCAAGCTTTGTACAATATTTTGTCCAAAGATTTTCGAGGGCTACGAGTTGCCCAGGCCTGATAATAATAAACTGAGACAATTAGTTTTGCAGTAACACACAGAATCTTTCCTGGCTACCCATAGACATCTTGTACACATGCGTGCTAATGCGTATATTAATGATGAATTTGTGTACAATATAAAAGTGATCATGATTACGAGACAAAATTCTTATCAAGCTCTTTATTAATTCTGTAACCAACGCACTGTACTACTATAATTTGTTATATTGATATAAAAGCAATGGGACTCCGAAAGAAAGTTATCGAAATGAAATTTCAACAATTACAAATATTAAATACAAACATATAATTGTACAACATACGTGTTTAATATTTTTTAATTATAAACACATAGGAAACAACTCTGCTTCGAAAAATTGTCAATTCTTTAATGTTCGATCAATATTTTATTTAATTGATTTTTAATAGATTCTCGTTTTTAAAAGACCCTTGTTATATTATCGCAAATATAGCTGTAGCAACGACAAATTTTTCAAATTGAAAATTTCGAGTTTTTTTTCTTATTTTTCTTGTATTATCTACCACTAGAATGTGGTAGTTCGTATGCGACCACATAACAGGTACTATATAACATGTACTGTAATATATCCAGAAATCCTAACCTCAAAATCTACCACTATATTTTTATTAAAAAAAAAGTATTTCTTAACCTAAAAGCATATCTGTTACAAGTTCATGTTTATTTATTATACAGAAATTTGATTAAAAATTCAAGATTTTCCAGATTAAAAATTTCTGAAAGCATAGTTTCTAAAGCTTCCATCATCCAAACAAGCGATTCTAAAATACTCGATCGAAGACTACTGAAAGTAAAATGTAATCGAGTTCGTCGAAAGGGAAATACTGAAACCATAATCCCATTACTTTTTCATCTGTATAATAGTAGATGTAAGAAATTGAACAATGAAATTCGATTATGAGGGAAGTAAGTTAAAGACTCTTTTTGCACGACAATTAGCATGCACGCATGCACACACACAACATGCAAGCACACACTTCTGAGTTCTGTTAACACGTCGAGAACGAAATTGTATTAAAAAAGAGAGAGACAAAAAAGAAAGGAAGTAAGAAGGTGTTAGAATGAACCTTGAAGATATCCTAATATCTGGATTTTACTTCACAGCTCGATAGGAATTAAAAAAAAATGTAAATAAAGGAATGTCACGTTATGGTAAGGATGGAGAATAATGCAAAATAAAACGTACTCAAAAACACGCGTACCTTGCTCAAATCTAAAGGATTATCACTCAAGTGTACTACAGCACCAGGATGGGTCTTTCTAGATCTGAAAAATATATATACATATATAATATATGTGCGTCTATGTACGTGTAGTGTTGCTGAATAATGTGTATTATCGTGTTCATGTTTCTTTATCGTGTAATATACGTAAATTAGATTTCAGGTAAGTTCTATCCTAATTTCTCTTGATCATTTGTATATTTTCATCTGAAACAGCTTGTATTCATCGAATATTTCATTCAGTTTCTAAATATTCGTCAACCTCTGAAAACAATAGCGAAACTAGAAATAAAAAGAAAAAAAGAAGTAAGACGGATGCACTAAATACGATAAAAGCTGTGCTTCTGTGCATAATGCAATAACATGTACCATAAAGGTTACCCTACAAGATCGTGAAATAACATTTTGAAACAGAAAGCAGAAGAACCAAAGCAACTTATAATCCTGTTGTAACACATTCGATCGGCTGCACTTTTCAGCAAACTTACGAGAAGGAAAAATGTATAAAACTCAGTCGTTTTAATTTACAAACAAACTGAAAAACTATACAAATGAAAATTAATCAATTATTTTCGATAAAATAACCATACACGTTTCAAGAAAAGAAATTTTTATGAAACTAGCATATAAAATTTTAAATATAGTACTGCCCAATGAACTGTCCGTGAAAGAACATCTGAACCATCCGAGGAGGTATCTGGGAATGGCGGGGATAGGACAGTTAACTCGACAGTACCATATTCTCAAAAATGTGCAAAATTTGATAGACTGAAAGCGTGTTCCATTTACGAAATTTTTCATTTCATTTAATATTATTCTTCTTTAACATGTTCAACACAGATATCTTAACACGTTCAGCTCAGATATATTAAGATTTTCAAAACCTTATCGACAGATAAAATCGCTTGTACGAAAAGGTGTACTGGATCGGAAAATGATGTGCTCGTAAATTCGGAAAACATGAAATTCCATTACTAAAATACGAGGTTTTGCAAATTGCAATTTAAAGTGCTTTTATTTCGTGTCACGAGTATCATCAATGGTTATCTGCGTTTATTAACTTACGACCGTAATATATCTCCCAGATGAAATCTGACTGCCACTTTAGGAGCCATACGGATAAAGATTTAAAATGCCGAACATAAACGCCGCAATCGGCATTCGTATCATAGTAAAGTATAGTCCCGGATATAGCGTGGTCGTAAAATCCTTCAGAAGTAAAAACACTCGAAACTGTCGAAACTCGAATTGTCGAAACAGTTCACGAAAAATAACAATCCATATTCGATAAGAAATTTGTATTCCGTACAATATATTGTACCCTAAAATTTAACACTGTAACGTGATTGAAGTAATGCAAAGTCAAACATGTGGAAACAGCGATCGATGTGAAACCATCTCATATTTTCAGACCCAGTAAAAAACCAATAGGAAATATTTCTTCTATACATTCCTAATTTTCTGTATCGAAACTCCCGAATCGAAATCAGATTTCATGTTCTGTTACACTCGAGCGATTTTACGACCGCCTTTGAATCCTCGCTGTCCGCTGCTTAAGCAGCATCTGGTCCTGAACGTGTTAAGCCGATATCGTCGATAACCCAAATATAACCCGGTCAACATGTCGTAGTAAATTTTCCTAGTTCCAACTTTCTCTTTCCCTGAAGAGAAAATGTTCTCTCTGTTCGGTAAAGCGCTTTTATGGGTTTTCGAAGATGAAATACGAGAACTGGTTAACGCTGGGTTAATCATGACGTCAGCCTACACGAATTTCTCTAAGATGCTAAAACTTTGTAACGGGAGAACTGCGTATATTAAAAAAATAATATCCGAAGAAATTTTTGAAAAGCATTGTAAGGAATATGAAATGAAATTTAACTAAGCCCACGCGGGAATTAATGATGATAACAAAGGATCCGCACGAACTTTGTAACACCGTTTTCGTTTGAACTTAGCACAATTACAGAGGACAAAATAATAATCTTGTATAACCATAATCAACTCTTCCAAACAGAAAATGTTTAAAGTTGTAACTTATATTTTATTCTCTGAGAATAATATAATATTAAAAATGTATTATAGTCTGATGTAAAAATAGATTTGGACAATGTCGCAAGTTCAAAACTCGCTGAGTACATGTACATGTTTTTACTTTGTATCTCCTTTAACTTTTCAGTGAAACTAATTAAAAGACTGATATTTTTAAACATTATCAAATAAAGACAGTTTAAAAATTTGTTGATGATTGTGGAGAGTAGTGGTTTTGCAAAATTATTAATTTCAGTGTTCGCTATAATTGCGCAAAGTTTCAACGAAATCGACGGTTCAGAAATCGTGAAGTTGTGAAGCGAAGATAATCTGACATTTTCGCATCTCCTCTTTAAGAACCCTATAAATGCGATCCAGCGAACAGAGAGAATACCGAAGCAGCAAGACAGAAAATGAGAAGTGGGTAGGTGGTTTTCCGTTGCTTATGTTATCATGTCTGTCATCGTTGCCCCGAGGCTTATTTTGGGGTAAACTATAACGCCTTAAAGAGCCTCAGGGCATGTTGTGGCCTCTGATATGCCGTCACTTGCAGCGAAAATTATACAGTGCGCCTCTATCAAATTTTAAATTAGTTTAGCAACAGTATAAAGATTATAATTAAAATTGCATTTAACTTGCAGATTGATCTACTTGAATTGTACAGAAAATTGGACTTTATAATTTTCTCTACTTGCTATCAATCTTGATCGTATTGGTATTTCGTCGATTAATATCGTATTTCTTGTAAACTAATTAAATTAAATCTGTAAGCACTTTCGTTGCACAATACGTAGCTGTTGAAGAACATTTTTGCAAAGATTTATCTTAAAAATTTCTCGCGTCAAAATTCTTTATGAACATAGCCATTATGTGCAGTAAGTAACAAGGAATATGTTATAAAATATATTTTTCAATATGTCAGATCACAAAACTGTTAAGGATTTTTAATTCTTGTTATAATAGTCTCAGAAATATAACGTCGATGTAAATCTCGGTAATTTATAAGCGACACATCATATTTCGTTCACGCCTAACTGACTCGACAGATGAGGAGTGCTGATAATGAACCCGAGTTCAGTACTGCAGAATATCAAGGCTCGTATTCTCCCATCGAAGTATTAGTCATTTTATGCTGCCGACGTCAGCGCACAAGTTAACATTTTTCCAAATATTGTAAATATTAGACAAACTACAATTGGTTGATAGTATCTTGCAGTTTATTGATTGGAGCCCTACAGCTACACTCTACACACGCTCCTGACCACATCAATCGTCGACAACGATTTTTTCAAACGCTTTTATCGTTGAAAAACATATCAGTTTATGGATCACCGATATACATACATCACGCTATATTTCTACGGCTATTATACTAACAGATATATCATAATGTGAACCCAACTAGGTTCATTATAATATCAGATGCAGGGTGTTCCAATTAAATGTACATACATTTTTACAGGCAGTTCATCGATTTTTCGTTCTTTTTAAACATTGAAACGAAAGAACGAAATTTATGCTAAATTATTGAAGAAATTATTATTATTAAAAATGCAAGAATATAAACAAAATGTAGAGATAGTTTAGAAGCAAATATGAAATTCTCGTATTTCTTAAAGATGACATTCCTTTGCTTTTGATGTACTAAAAATGAAGTTTATACCACAAATTGGAAACGATCGTTAAACAAGCAGCTAGAAAATTAAATGCTTTCAAACATCGAGTAAATTAATTCGAAAATTCAATTTCAGTTATTAATAATACCTGAATCGGTTATCAAACGCAATAAACTAACCTAAAGTTAGTTTACTTTTTCTGTCGTTACATTAATTGAAAATAAACAAGGTGAATTGCAGAAAATTTTAAGATCACAGTATTATAGGTCCTTAAACTCCTTTTAACATCGTTATAAAATCAATAATAGATCATGCCACGTGAAAAAGTCGAAATAATAATTTTATGTTCAACAAATTATTTTTGAGAAATTATAAATATTACTTCTAATTGAATGATACATCCCCTTGAAAATATTTTATGTTATAGAAAACTCGTGCAAACTTCGCTAAACATTTATATTCATAGATATTCAAAGTGTGTATACATTTTCTTGGTGCACCCGTAATAAACGAAATTTACGACCACGCTATATTTCTGCGGCTACTATACCGGCTAGGAAAAGGTAAAGAAACTGCCGAGAATCGCTCGCAATCAACTACATAATCGTATACCTACTTTCATTTGGCCACCCACGAATTCTTACTAACTATAACTATAAACAAAAAGACAGGCTGATGCACTCCAAGTGCCCACATACTTTATGAAATTTCAAAATCGTTTTAAATTTTAACTTATTTCTTTTGAGAGGTATCATTTTTTCGTTTGTACAGTAGACTTTCGTTACACTACTGAACGGATTTCCATCATTGGAGATCACAATATCAAAGAAGACTTGGGTACCTTATGTACAGGGTATCTCACAACTAGTTTAGGCCCCTGAAATGGGGGGTAGCTGATGTGATTCTGAATAAGATTTTCCTTTGCGAAAATGGGGTTTGAACCTTCGTTTTTGAATTATTAAGGAAAAACACGGATCAATCAGAGCGCGAGGATTATGCATGCGCAGACGCGAGAGTGGCAGCTTCGGATAACGCGTGGTTATCCAACGCGTGGTAATCCAACGTGTAGTAATGCAACGCGTGGTAATCCTACGCGTAGTAATCCAACGCGTAGTAATGCAACGCGTAGTAATACAGCGTGTGGATAACCAACGCGTAGTAATCTAGCGCATGCATATTAAACGCGTAGTAATCCAACGCGTAATAACGCAACGCGTGGTAATTCTAAGCGTGGGAATCTAATGCGTGGTAATCTAACGCGTAGTAATCCAGCGTGTGGATATCTAACGCGTAGTAATCCAGCGCGTGGATATTCAACGCGTATTAGTCCAACGCGTAATAATGCAACGTGTGGTAATTCTGAGCGTAGGAATCTAACGCGTGGTAATATAACGCGTAGTTAACCAACGCGTAGTAACCCAACGCGTAATAATCCTCACGCTCTGATTGCTCCGTGTTTTTCCTTAATAATTCAAAAACGAAGCTTCAAACCCCATTTTCGCAAAGGGAAATCTAATTCAGAATCAGCTACCTCCTATTTCAGGAACCTACACTAATTGTAACACCCTGTATTGCTAAATGCAATTTACCACTACTAGAGCTCCGTGGCAGTATAACGAGAGTCTGCATTACAAATTTTGCTGCACCTTATATACGAGGATTGTGTACGGGTATACTTAAAAGAAAATGTAGGGAAAGAGTTTTGTATCAGACTTATTTGTCGATTTTGATTTTAATGCACTTTTGCAGCTTAGTGTTCCAGTTAAAGGTAACTTAAATTTCTGCTTTGTTTATTGCATGAAAAATATTCTCACGAAGTTATTCCAAATTAAATACATTTGTACTAAAATTCAACTAGAATACAAAATACAAATGTCAACAGTTTATGAAAATTTTTAACTTTAACTTCTATGCAGAATATTTCAGACTTGCAGAAAAACATAATTCTATTTTACAAAACTGTTCTGAGTGTTCCTACAAAAGTGACATTGCGAAAAAACTGTATACACTGTTATATGTGCTCCTTGACGTAGTAATTATAATTTTATCCTAACACGATTTTTAATGTGATAAACACAGCAATTTAGGTAACCAACTAGAATACCCTGTATAAATCTACAAATATCTAATGATGAAGTTGTACAAATGAATGTATTCGTCTTTCTATTTTGTTTTTAACTATCCTCGACAATATTATGTAAAAATAAATAGAGGTTTATCTTTTTCAAGAAATATCAAAAAATTAATATCGCATCGCATTGTGACTGCAAGAAATAATAATACAAATATTTTGAATATTAAACGGATTCCATCTGTTAACATAAAAATTGACTAACAAAGAATTAAATTTTGTTCCAACTTTACCAGCACCGACAATTGCCAAGTAATATTAATATTAACAGTTTTCCAATATTAAACAGACGTGTGTTATCGAAAACCTATATCATTAACCGACAAAAGGAACATCAAAATCAAAATCATCTAATGAAGATTCGTTGTAAAAACTAGTGACAGCTTCCCTACATTTTCAACTAAAAAAAGCCTACATTGCAATTATATAAATTTCCTTCCACATTCAGCGCATTAAGGAATAAGAGTCCGAAATAAAAAGACAAGCGCTGCACGACTCTGAATTTGTGTGTATCGCTTACATCGTTCCCTTTATACACATATCTAATAGCATTGTTCGCCGTTTATGAATCGTATCAATAATTTGTTGGATCAATAGGCGTTTGCTTACTTACATTTCGATAGCCTTGTTCCAATTAATTACATATCCAGAAAGTACGAATGTCTCGATATGGAGTATATGAATGTTTCCTCGTTCGGTACCAACGTATAGCCATTTACTTTGCAGTGGTAGATGAATGCACGTTATTCTGTTAAAAATAAAACAATATACCATTCGATTACTACTTGAAAGAAAATGCTTTTCAAGTGGGGAATATTTAATTCGACGGTAACAACTTCTTATATATTCATGAACGGGAATATCGAGAAACATTTTTAGAGATCGATTAGAGATGGTTAAGCGTAATCTAATTTTAATGTATAAATGCTAATTATTGATCTATTGAAAGTAATGATATTTTGAACTGAATAGGTTACTGAAATTATAGATTACTGAACATTAAAAACGTCATCTAGAGTTAGGAAACAGAGGTTGCAGTGTGGACCATTTTCTTGTACGGAGACTTTATAAAAATAGCAGAGAAAAAATTTTACTAGCAACGACTTATATCAACTTTTTATATTTGCGTCATTTTTCATGGTATGATCTTCGGTTTTTCTTAATGAAATTATATGTATAATATATGAAAATGTTAGGCATAACCGACAAAATAAGCCGTTCGTACGAATACACGTATGTACACATATGTACCGCCGCGAACACCGCATGTTTATGTCACCGTGAAATCGGCGGTTAGTTATAAAAGAAACAGGGACGAGTTAAGACCGTGTTGCTGCGATTTACCTGCGATTCCGCTATTGTGTAAAATATATATTTATTTTGTGCACTCACACAAGACCAGTTTATTTTTCATACCAAGTCTCAACATCAAGATGAATTTATCTGACTAAGCTTCAAGACAATGGGCAGAAGATATTGAAGGTGTAGTATTCCACTTAAAAAACTGAAGATCATTTTTTAAAAATAATGCAAATATACAAAATTAAGACAGATCATATTACTAGTAAAATGTAGTATTTCTTCCTCCTTCAATTTGTAAAACTCATTGTGTACAACATTGGTCAATATTGTACCCTATACCATTAACATCATACAGTAAAATATGATCATATAGTAAACTAATCTTTAAATAAAATACTGAAACACGAATTTAACAAATTGTTCTTTAATATCCTTCGTAATCAAATAACTAAAAATAATGCAGGGTGTACATTGCACGTGGAAAGTGTTGGTTCAGCACATTAAAAGAAAGAGATACGACCTCGTTAAAAACAGCTTGTAACGTGCTATAATAGTAGATCTACCAAAAATTGCTTAAAATCTTCAATTTTCTGATACAAGTTTAAAAAATTCGCTGAAACATCGAATTCTACAAATTGACAAACTTTCATTATTTAACTTTTGACATTCCTTGTCTTCCTACTCGGTAGAATGTTCATGGAGGCATTGAAAAACCTTGGAACACTTCTCCCGGGAAATCGCATTCAAATGTTTCATGTGCGTTAAATCGCCTGGGTATCCTCGTAGAATCCTTCTCATTGCCGGTTTCATTTTTGAGAAGGAAAATATCTGCGGATACATCTCGCGATTACACATAACGTTTCGAACTACCGTGATATGGATTTTTTAAATTGCTTCCAAAGTAATATACTCAACGACATGTTCAAAATACATGTGCGAATTCAACCGCACTATCACATTAGTTATAATGGTAGTTTTGATTTGACCGTAATTTTATCTTTGAAAATAAGTACGTGTTTTCTTTAGAATCACAAAAGTCAGTTACTTCGAAGAACTGTTAATAATAGATTGATTTATCTGTATACAAATATCAGTATGTATCTGCAAGTCATTTAGCGGTATCTTTACTTTTGCACGAACTTATCAAACTCGCTTATACGCAGAAAAATTGCAATGCAAACTGTAATTCGGAAACAAGGTGCTGTCTATATTAATTGTCAATATTAATGGAATGTCTATGTCGACTTTTAATATAAAATTTCTATATCAACTTTTAATATAAAATGTCTATGTCGACTCTACATAAAATATCCATGTCTGTATAAAATATCTATGTGAACTCCACATAAAATGTCCACGTCTGTATAAAATGTCTATGTCAATTCTGGATATAGAATATCTACGTCAATTCTTGATGCCGAATATCTACATCAAACCGCCATATGTTTATATCGACCTTTCATTTTAGTGTGCTTAATCAACCCCTGCTCCACTTTTCACGTGCAACGATAGAAACGTAGGTCATAACGTACATCGGAAGAAATGAAAAACTGACCTTTCTCTTTGGAATTTAATGCTCTGCACAACTTGTGGTATTTTTTGTCGAAAATTCCATAGATGTAAGGTGTCGTCCGCAGTAGCAGAAACCAGTGCTCCTTCATTAATTAGAAACTGTAATTGCATCACCGCCGTGCATCCCTCGTGTTTCACGTGTGCGTCAACGCCTGGTCGACCCAGACTATTTTTTTTTAATTTTTAATTAAGGAAAATAGCAATTTATACAAATATAGACATTCATACACGTTATGTATTTATAAATAAAATTAATGGGTGTATTAAATTTTAGGTAAAGTACCAAAAAATAAAAATCGCTAAAACTGAGAAAATCAGAATCATGGAATTCTGTGTCATGCTTTTGAAATTTGAGGAAATAAAGTATATTGTGATTATCACAAATAGACTGCGAATGTTTATGCATTTATGAAAGTCTATAAAGTAAACATAAATCATTGAAATTTGTGGGATCTTCAATTTACGAATTAAATGATTTATGTTTATGATTCATTTGTATTTTGTAGAACTCGATAAATAAATAAATGTTCGCCTAATTGTAACTACAGTAATATTTATAAAAGTATAACATAGTACACTTCGTTATTATATTTCAACCTTATTATTACGTTTCAAGGTGGTAACGTTCTACGCTAATATATTGTTCACACTTTCTAGTGAAACAGGCGATATTAGTAGGCCAACATGACTTTCATTAATTAGGCAGCAATCCACTACAAAAATAAATGTCTATACTGATTACTCCAGTTTTTGGTAGATATTCACTATTTGCCTTCCGGTGACTCAGAGTTCTCTTTTCTGAATACATTACACGTTATTTATACACATTCAGAAATTTATGTTCAATTTAATTATTAATAAATTTGTCACTAACTTATGATATTGATAAAAATATGTCAGATTCAGAAATTTATATTAAATTCAATTATAAATAAATTTAGCGCTAACTTATGATATTGATAAAAATATGTTTTTTCACAAATAAAATAAATTAATGATTTGTCAATATAAAAAATGAACACACCTCGGATTTTCTAATATAATGTGGATATAGAACATTTTATTCACGGAAGTCATAAAATAATTTCATCTTCTAAATTTATGTACAGGGTTTTCTAAAAATTTCTTAAAAAGTAAGTTTTCAATAATTTTAACATTTTTTCATATTTCAATGTTCAATAATTGGCGATGCAAACAGTTATTAATAATTATAGTATATGGATGATACAATAAATAAATAAACTAATATTGATTATTAATTTATTCAGTACATTACAAATAATGGAAAACATATAAACGATTTACCTATTAACTTAAATCGTAAACTCACGTGTTAACATATGTGATGACTAATGGCTTACTCACAATAAAACATGTTTATTAATCAGTTTATCTTTACATTCATAGAATCTCAGACTAATTCGAACTATACTAAACTGTCATTAAACATCAGTTTTATATTACAGTAAATTTTAACAAAAACCTGTTAATATCTTGATTGTACGCAAAATAAAACGACGGATGCGATTTCTTACAAGATTACATTAAAGCAAAAATATCTTGCTTCTCAAATTCTCTGACCTCACAAAAAACCAACCAATTCACCGAATTATATTTCGGAATATAATTTGTTAACGTCTGTTCAAATTACTTTACCGATAGAACTTCCTTAATTACTTACAGCAACAAATTAAAACGGACAGAAAAAAGAGGAAAAGAAAATTACGTAACTTTCATGAAACTCGCAACCTTCAATTTAATAAACCTAAGTTTTCCACCAACCCATAACATGTTCTTGATTTCGTCTTATTCTCAAACAACCGGACACAAATTGCAAGAACTTTAAACGTAAATATCCCTTATTTTGGAAAGTTGCGCGCTATAATTTTGTCAAATTATTAGCAATGTCTATAAATGCGTGAAGTTCGAATGAAATCGTTGTTTCCAAGGTCATAACTTCCATATAAGTGAACAAAGTTACAGTTCCGTTACATGCGTATGTAAGAAATAGCAAAGGTGTGCTATTTTCTGTCGCAGAGCACAAAGGTGAAGGGATAAGACCCTTTTACTTGCTTATAGTTTCGAAAGAGCTTGGTGAAAATCTAACATAGGCCATAAAGAGCAGGACGAATAAGGACAGTGGTTAGATCTTTATGTTCGTACCCATCTCAAGGGATGACTAGGTTGCACGCGACTGTACCGATATACATACCATAACATACTATGTATAGGGTTAGTGTCAAGTCAGCCACCCCGAAACTGGAACGCTGTACCTCCTCACCCTAATGGGTATATGCGATCGTACTATCTATAGAGCCCTGCAAAACTTGCAATATATTTTTCATGGACCATAGAACACCTTTAAAAGAGCGCAGTCAAGTTTCAGGAGACACTTTGCACCAAATCTATGCATTCGGATATGAAATTGATTTCCTCTGCAGGAGGATACAATTTGACGATTTTTGAGTTAACAAACTTTTTAATATTCAGAAGTTTATAACTTTTGAATGTTTAGAAGCTTTTGAAGGTTCGAAAATTCGCAATTTCTGAATCCGCAAGTTTGTCGAGTTCCCAAACTCCTATTGACATAAATTCCTACACCTCTGAATCTTTAAATTTCCCAAATTTCTAGATCTCCGATTTCTAAATCCCCAAAGTCCCACACCCCTGAATCCTTAGATGTAAACACTGCTAGCTCCTAAAAATCACTTAATCCAATTTCCAAATCCTAAAAATCACTAAGTCCCCAAATCTCTACATCCCAGAGTCCTTAGATTTAAATACTTTCAGATCCTAAAAATCGCTAGATCCAATCTCTAAATCCCCAAATCCTTACATCCAATTTCTAAATAACCAAATTCCTAGATCCAAGAGCCATATCCTCAGAGTATCATTTCCAGTACCAACATCACCATGAAATGAAGTCCCTTTAACACTCTACAAACATTTCCACATATTTTCACAACTGTCCTATCAATTTGGGTCCTATAAATTTCCGTTAGCAACAGCCTAAAAAATGTGTCCTTCCAGTTCAGTTCCAAAATTGCTTCCTCTCAATACCAACCGTAGATAAGTTAACCTCGAACGTTCGTTTCGAACATTTCGCGCAACCGTTTGTTTTCTACGTTATTGACACACATAGAAATTGATTGAGCAATTAATTGATTTTACTGGACAATAAAACGTATCGTTCAATTGAAAGTAGCTACTTTGTAGCAACCTGTCTCGATGGCGACCAGGAAGCTCATCCAGCTGTGATGAACATCCACTCCCTGGTAACTCTTCAGTCCGGATAGACCAACAGAAGCAATCACGTGAAAGAACACACGCTTGACGGACCATGAACCAACTGTACAATGCACAATTTCGAACACGGTCAGCTTCGTTCTCTTCAACAGCACGTAAGGGGAAGGAATCTCCCACCAATCTTCTTTCTAATGCCTGGTTTATATGCTTACTACACCAGGTCAAATGTTTGACCATTCTGAATGCGTTAACATTCGAGTAAAGAAGGGATAAAAATATTTATAACCATTCAGTGGAGAAGCGGTGGACATAGCCTTGTCAGAGTGTCCTCTCACACATCATAAAAAGAGGGGAAACGACTAAAGGGCAATGAGGAGGCTCATTCTTGATGAGTCGCACGCATCAAGAATCCCATCTGTAATTTTTGAAACCGTGGAAGAGCGAGATCAGTGACCATCCGTTCTATTTTTGCGTAACACAAGAGGGTGAAAAGCATCCCTAAATCGAATTCAACTTGCAATACGATACCTTGTTAAGAAAGAACAAATTGTGCTAAGTGCCAACTTTGTACCTGGTGCAGCAAAGGGATGAATCATGTTTTTCAGAAACTTTTCTCAGATTAATTCATGAAAAATTTTTTAAACTAGAGATAAGCTATTTTGCAGATTTTTCGTTTGAATATACCAGTTGTGAAAATACAAATGGCGATTTTATACTGAAGTTGATGTATGCTCATATTTTTGGAGTAAATACATATTATTGATTTTATTACTATATTTATTGTTTCTAGGAGTCAAAGAATAAAATATCTCCCCAAATAATAGGTATTGACAAAAAAGACCAAATATGGGTTAACTTATTTTTACTCTCGATTCAGAAGTTTCATTAAAATCGATAATCCAACGATTGTGGTGTCTCCTTGTTAGCTGCATAAGTAACATCAACCCTTTTTTTAGCTCCGAAAATGCCCAATGTGAATGAAGATATTAATAAGTTTGGCAAAATAAAATTTGCAGAAAATGTACCCATTTTTCAATACATCTTATGTAGTCAAGAAAATGTCGTCATAAATACCGTCTCACCTTTCACATATGAACATATGCAAAATGTTAAATACGAAGAAAGGAATGTACTGAAAATTTTTATTTTATCAAATTTCTAAGTGGTGAAAAACAATTTAGGATACAAAAATTTATAAAAAATGAACATGACTATTATGTCCCGCTTGCAATATTCGACCTTAATTTCCGAAATTGCAATTTGTAAAAATTAACCTCTGTTCGAGACATATTTCTGTCAAATTACAAATTACTAAAAAATGGTGCACCCTGAATACATAAAAATAAATAAAATAAAATATCCCTGTATAAATAAAATCGAATAAATTGTGTAAGTATGTGTACGTTCGACGTGATAAAAATAGATGACACATATCCAATAATCAACAGAAAAAAGTAGAATCTTATATTTTTTAATCCTTTTAGTTCCGAGCGATCGTTGCGTATATCTTCGTGTTTTGATATTTATAATTCTGTTATAAATAATTGAAACATATTTTTTCTTACTACCAACTCTTCGAACAATTCTGCGTAGAAAAGTGTTAAGGTACAACGTTAAAGAAGCCAATGTGTGATATATGACATTTTTGATAAGTTAAACGGTTCGTGGAAGATAAGCACTTGTGCACAATGCACGTATTGTAACCAATTACCTACGACAAACTTATTCTGACAGATGGTTTGGAACACACACCATGAGCACGTTCTCCCGACCTTAATCCTCTTGATTTCTTTCTATGGGATTACCTCAAAGATAAAGTGCATTCGTGTCCATTTGTTTCTGTGAACGAAAGAACAAATTAAACTGCGTTGTTCAAGGATAAGTCACTACAATATTTTCGTTATGAAATACATAAACTGTGCTTACTATGTGAAGAAATATTCAAACATCTTTAATAAAGATTTATCAGAAATTTGAAATATTAAAAATATTAAACAGTGTAGTTTAATAGATTGTTACGCAGAATATTTCGCAGAGTTGATACGAGTAGGCAAAAATATGCAATATCGTTTGAAGACTGCATTTGTCGAATGCATTCACGAAGAAAATGAAGTAGAAATTATCATACCATTTTATCCCATCCCTTATTAAATTTGAGATATAACTCGTCCTAATTGCATGCCGCACCCTGCTATTTAATAATTAACGCGAGCCATCAGTGAATCGGAGCCCATATTTAAGACCCTTTGCTCTAATTCAAGTTAGCAAATTCTACCATGCTAAAGAATAAAAATATTTGAAAGCATTTACAGGAATCTCCGGCTGCCAGTAGCATTAGAATACTGTTTCATTACTATTGTTTCATCGATAAATAATATGATACGCCACGTTTAATATTTGAAATACAAAAGATCGAAATGTTTATCGTTCACCCGGAGTATTATGAAAGGATACATCCTAAGGGATCCCGATTTAGTGCCAATAGCAAGAAGCCTTTGAACTGGATCGAACGCTACCGCTGTCGGCTGATGTGGGAAACCATGTCGAAATGTCTGAAACATAAAGGTATTTAATTCATTTCATGTTTCCTGCCTTACTCGGTTGGAAGTCTATTCAACTCCGCAGAGGATACAGAACAAACAATACCAACCAAAAGATAACATTGTTTCTTCGCGTTTGAATACAGCTATGTTTAGCTGTTAGGCTATGCATATAACAATTTCAATATCCTTAATTCCATTAGGTTAATGCAGATAAAATTTATTCATTAAAATTTCAACGGTTATAAAAGAGACTCTCTCTGCCACTCTTTAGTTATAAATTTTATTGTAACGTACTGTCGATTTCGAAAAAATGCGACAAATTGATGACGAAGTATTTCACATTGAAGCATAAATAAAAATAAACTTTCTAAAAGTAACTAGTCTCATAAAAATTTGTTCACTGTAAAACCGTGTTATTTTATATTAAAATGTATATTAATGATCAAATTTGTAGCATAATCAAACCTGACACTTGATAGCATGAAAATACTGTGAGATTACACGTGGCACGTAAATTTAAAAGTTGACACTTTACGAAAATAACAACACATATATTTTGTTCTTAGTTTGAATATAAAATAATTGCTGTATTAAATTGAACAATGATCGATTTTAAAATCTGTGAGGTCGAACGCGGTTCGATGAGGTGAAACTATTCTAAAACAACTTTCATTCTGTAGGAATTAATAGCGCAAAATTATCTGAAAATGACCACACAAAGTTTTTATTGCTGTTCCTAAATTTTCACATAACAAAATTTCATGATACTTCAATGAACTCTTCGAATGAATAAGTGATCATATTAGAACATTTACTGTATTGTATTTATACTATGTGTTGATCACGAATTTAAGAATTTGTGGCTCTGAAAATTTAAGGATATAACTTTGAGAATATAACTTTGGAAATTTGAAAATTTTATGATTTAGAATTCTGGAAACTTGGAAATATAAAAATTTAAAAAGTTTAAATTTGAAAACTCAGAAATATAAAAGTTTGAAAATTTCTACGTAGAAGTTCGCAGAAAAATATGAAGTAAATGTCTTATTTTAGATCTTGTACCTTTCACGTTTCCTACGTAGCTTTCTTGTCTTTCAGGACATTTGAAAAATATAGCTTGTCTCATTTGCTAGAAACACCTGTACAGTGCAATACAATATAATGCGCCACATCTTGCAGCTTGTTATAGATATACTGTCATGTAACACGCTTTTGTTGCTAGCTGCTCATTATATATTTGAAATAAAAGGCTCGAAGTTACAATTATAGTGATATCCGAATATTTTTGTAACCGACTGTACGTTAAAATCGATTTTGATGCAGCACTTTTGCCTTTTCTTTGGTCGTGAAAACTGCCCTTGTTCCATTTCGGTGTAACGAAGAAATAGGTTAAAATATAACAATACGGAACCTACAAACATCACTGATCTTACTCTATATCTAACTTTAACTTTTTAAAGCTGTTCTTCGGCTAGTTTCCGACGCTTTTCGTAGATTACAATACCGCAGAGGACCTAAATACTGCAATAACCTGTTTCGGGGAATCTGCGGTTATTAAGCGTGACTTCTCACGAGTTTCAGATCACTATCCAAAATTCTAAATATTTCCATTTTAACTATTAGATTATTTCTAATATTCTAGAATATTTCTTATATTAGTATAGATAGAAATTTATAACATATAGAGTGCTACCTGTACTCACGATTTTCCTCCCACTTGCAGTCACCTTACGATAAAAAGTTTAGAACAATATTTGCAGGATATGAAGTGCACAATAGATATTAGTAAAGCAAATTTTGAAAACAATTTGTTCTCTTGGCAAAGTTAAGGTCACCTTGGGTTTTTTAAATAGGAACATACATTTTTTTTATTCATAGCTATAGAGGACATCGAGACGAATTCAAAACACATATTACATGATATTTTTATTAACATATTACTCGATTTACAGAAGTGGAAATGTGAAATAAAAAACCGGAATATTACGCGATGGAAGGCGGCATACATTTTTAACACGTAATTAAATAAAGTGTATTTTTCTTACATTTTAGTCGCGTGTTTATATTCAGTAATCTCTTCGGAATCAAATAATGGTTACACTACCAAATTCAACAGCTAAGTACTTCACATTTCCTCTTCTGTAAATCGAGTAATATGTTAATAAAAATATCATGTAAATGTAATATGTGTTTTGAATTCGTCTCGATATCCCCTAATGCTATGAATAAAAAAAATGTATGTTCCTATTTAAAAAACCCAAGGTGACCTTGACTTTGCCAAGAGAACAAACTGTTTTCAAAATTTGCTTTACTAATATCTTATTGTACACTTCATACCCTGCAAATATTGTTCTAAACTTTTTATCGTAAGTTGGCTGCAAGTGGGAGAAAAATTATGAGTAGCGTTATAAGTAATACCCTGTATATCAATTATTTGATGTAATATTTATAAGGTGAAGGAAAATTAACTCCTATGTTTGTTCACAGTTTTAAATTAAATGACTTCTCTCTCAAATATGTTTGTTTAAATTATTTATCTATTAATTTTAAAGAATTGTACCAAGTTCAGCAGATCAATTTATTTATTCAATTTTGTGAAACATTTCAAACGGTATAATTTTAAATTCTAGTCGAATATCTTCGGTCAATTAAGAATTTCAGCTTTATTCGCGCAGACATTTTACTTTAGATAATTTTATAAACACGAGTCGGGAGGTGTGAAGTCAGATGATGTTGCAGCCAATGCAAATCATAAAAGGGAGAAATACATTAATCTGCAAAAAGGTCATATTTCCTTTCTTTGCGACGGATGAATCGATCGGGATGAAATCCTTTATATCCGATTCAAAGTATTCCTGCAGTGCCCCTGTTTGCAAAGGTTTTTCGTGATATTTGCAAATATTAAATCAAATTTTTAAATTGTAAATGAACTTTGGTAACTAAATTGTAAATTACATTTGTTAATTAAATTTGTAAATTGTAGATGAAGTTTGTTAACTAAATTTGTAAATTGTAAATTAACTTTGTCAATTAAATTTGTAAATTGTAAATTAACTTTGTAATCAATTCTGTAAGCTACAAATTAAATTTGTTAATTAAAATTGTAAATTTTGAAATTAAATCAAATTTATTCTATAGTAACGTATAGATTGCGTTGAGAACATTTTATTACAAAACTACGACTTCATGAAACTGCCACGCGGTAAAAAATTTGTTGTTTATAAAATAATTTTGCACGTACATATCTCAATCGTTTCTAAATCAATTGAAGTACTTATTTTCTCTAATTACGCAAGTTGATTTTGATCTATTTTGGCCACGAAACCGAGTCAGTCTTTCGGTTCACTGTGCAATCGTCACGTGTCGCTCTATTATGGTATGCAATATAGAGCAACAAAATTAAGAAAGCATTATGACTGTGAGAATTATATTTAGAAGTTAATAAACGCGAAGGAACGACAGGCAACGCTTTATAATTTTTTCAAATAAATTTTCTGTTAGTTTCAATAACAGTTTTTAAAAAATGTAGTGTAGGTATATTTAATTGTACGTATATAATAATACAAAAAAGTATTTTTTTTCTCTTTGTAGTCGGACAGATGAAAAAATAAACAGTAATAGGTTTACTTATATATTCTATTAAACACTGCATGTTAGAAGATATTTTAACACAGTATATTTTACTAAAATACTTTAATCATAATAAGCAATGTAATTATATTAAAAAGGAAATACAGTAATTCAAGAAAAGAAACATTAATATAGAATCTCCCAAAAAGTGTACCCACACATTAACTGACTATTACACACATATTTAACTTCGATCAGACATATTTACATATTTACAAATCTAATAAATTAACAGAACGTAATGAGTTACTGAGTGGATTAATTTGTCCACAAGTTGTTAACATATCATACATGTTTGCAAATATTCAAGTGGATAAGTTAGGTCATTCACGATTTTTCATCAAACGAATGGCATAAAGTTAAAATGTATTACACATATATTTAAAACATTTTAAAATCATTAAAAATGAACTATAATTTTGACATAATCCAGAAAAGTTTTGTTCACATCTTTCATTAAAAAATCTTGATAAGAAGATACAGTCTTTGATAATTAATAAAATTATTCATAAATAAGTTCACTGTAAAATTTTTCTTATTTATAAAATAAAATTTCGTTGAAACTTTAATTGTAAAACAGAAAACTTCTTTACACTGTAATCGCAATTAAGTGTACACTATAACAAATATAAATACTTGAATTATAACTACTAACTATAAATTAAGTTCAATGGTAATTTTCCAAGCTTCTGTTTAATGTTATCAGTCGATTATTGTTATCACAATTGCAGGTCCCGAAGTGATCATATTAAGCAAATTCCACTGTACTCGTATTTAGAACAACTGTATCAAAACTTCGTGTTAAATCTGGTGCATTACATCGAAATGTTCAATTATTAATACATATTACTAGAAACTTTGTAATAAATTAACGACTGTATGAAGAGTAGCAACAGGTTTAAGTACATGCAGATACTCGTTTTCGCTCGCTGGGGTCTCTTCAGCCCCTAGACCCTTCATTAGCCACCTTACGGTACTTTTGACAATTTTTTTAAGGGCTTTGGCCCATTTTTAGGAAGTTTGATTCTTTCACACAAAGTTGTATCGGTTTACCCTATATATTTGTGTATGTCAGTGATCAGCATGAAATTTTATAGTATTTTATTAACCTTTAAGTAAATTTCTAGTACATAAGAATTAGAAGATGAAAGAAATTAGAAAAGTCACGAAATTTCTAATACAAGACTATTTTTCTTCGTTGCCCGCCAAAAACTTGTTATATATTCAGCCTTTAATTTAATAAAAAATTAGTTGTCTTAACCCCCATATTTGTGTATAAATTTTATTTTATTCTTTTGAGCACGCGTTGATTAAAATTAATTACGGTAGAAACGCTATCGTTATTTCCGGCGTGGCAATAACAGATTACAGTAGCACTT